CCCTGAATTGGGTTTGGTGACAAACATACAATCATTTTATTTATTTTCCTGTGATACTCATAAGAAAGCTTTGACTACTTGCATGCAAAAGCCTCATGGCTGGAAATCTGTTTATCTTTGTTTCGATTTGAGGTTGGTTTTTCTTTTGCTTTTAATTCTCTTAGTTTTCTTGTTACATCGCACCCCCTCAGCCCTGACATAACAAGTACAAGCTTTGCAGCAAATACTATGGGAGACTATTCAGTGCTTTGTGCTGCCTTTCTCCATTTCACAAGCAACAAGGGCATATTTTGTCTCAGCACAGCAAATTCAGAATTTCAAGAGTTCTTAGAGTGGTGCAAATATTTCAAATTACAGAAGCTCTAGTATATATCTGAAATGCCCAGTACATAGATTCAGTCCTGGTAAGTCCATTGTTGTTTTTAATTGTCAGTGACTGCTATACTCCACTTGCCTGCAGCTATCCAATTAACATATCACCACTACAAAAAATATTGTAATGTGTTCAATGTCCTAATAACAAGAGCCTCCCACTTCTCTTCTATCCAACAATTTTAACCTAATTGTGTTTTCGATGAATTAGCAAATGACAAGGAATGGATGTAAGTGGACAGACAATGCAGCTTTCACAGTCCTATTGTGACTGTTTTGCAAAGTTCTGCAGAGATACTCCTAGCTGTTGAGTAAATAGATTGAGAAACAGAAAGAGAGAGAGAAGGGAAAGAAAAGCACAACTCAAGAAGTGCAAAACATGTAACTTGTGCCCTGAGATATTGCTATGGCAACATTTAAACAATGAACAGAAAGCCCTGCAGGATTCTGCTCCCGCTTCCTTGGATACCAAATGTAGATCCTGATTCTCTTTTATTGTGTGCATACACAAGCGCCTGATTTTTTGCCTTTTCCTCTAACCGACTGCAAACTATCCAGGCCACATACCAGGAACTGTGCATCAATTCATTTCTGTGTATCATAGCATTTCCAACTGAAACACACTACTAGCACACTCATCTTGCCTTTTGCATTCCTATTTTCACCCTCAAGAGAAGAAAGAACCGTGATAGAAAAGCTGAAAACTGGCACCTTGCTTTTCTAAATAGCATCATGAAATAAACTGCTCAAAAAGTCATAAGTTAAGCCTCAATTTCTTCTGCTATTACAGCAAGCAATTACAAGAAGCAGAGGCAAGGTACTTTCTATGAATAGCTCTTCAGGACAGCTCCTTGCCCATGTTCCTAGAATTAAAAGAACACTGCAAGGCTGCCTTCCAGGTCACCATGACTGCTGCTATTGCTAAATCCTCCTGAACTGAATTGTCCTGGAAGGGCAGCACTTTATACTGAAGGAGGCTTGTTTTTCATTATTAATTTCACAAGGCAGGTGGCAAGGGGGCAGATGGAGAAGCAGAACCTGGGCCAAAAGTCCAGTCAGTTTGACTACACCAGAAGTAATTTAATGGGTAGTAATTAATTGCATTTCTTCAGAATTATTTCCCTCCTAGACTGCAAGTGATACTAATTCTAGTACTCATTTATCTCCCCGTGTTCCCACACAGGCAATCAGAAAGAAAGAGATCTGAAAAAGTCAAAGCGAAAGCACAGTGGCACAAGTGAGATGGAGATTCTTGCATGCTGCTGCTGCGCACAGTGCACTCCTTTACTGAATACATTGGCTCTTCATTCTTGGACAGTTTGGCTTATGAACTGTCACCCACACCATGCTCTCAAAATACACTGAATGCCTGTTCCAGGTCCTATGCAAAATCTTCCCATCTCATATCACCACAGCTAGAACAGTGGAAAGAGATTCAACTTTTAAGGTCACAGACAAATCATTTTAATAACATTGCATAAGAAGCTATGACAACGTTTTGGAAATCCTCTTTTCCTCCATTTCCTTACAATTTCTTGTATCTGTTCACATTTAGAGCATTCTTTCTTTGGTCTCAGCAAATGTGAATGTTCATTTTTCACTCAGCGCTATCAAGCCGAGAGATACTGCAATACATAATTTGCTGCTCCAGCAAACTGAGCATGCTCCTATTCTTGATCAGTGTGAATCATTCCTGATAGCATGGACTGCATACAGTATGAACATGCAGTTTGTCAAGAGAACTTGAAGTCTGAGATTTGTGATCTCAAAATGTTTTGGAGAACAATTACAAGTGACGCAGGAGTCTCCAATAAAGCTTTCCCCTCTGCAAAAGCTTTGGTTGCCTAAATATACCAGTTAAATATAGTGTTTCCCTTTACAGCACCAAATTCCAATACAGTCCAAGAGCCCAGGGTTACTTCCAAATGGATGGTCCACGTTTTGAAGAAGAAATAGCCTCCAGGATCAGCACACGCTGCTGAGTGGTACATCTGTACTTCCCTGCACATGCAAGAGAAGTAGCATTGACAGCCAGTTCTTGACTCTGCCTGACAAGATGTATTGCTCCTCATTTAGTTGGATGCTTAGTTTGATGCTTTTGGCAGTGTATTTTATGATCAGTCCTTTGGGCTCCGGGTAAGCCAAAGCACAAAAGCTTAGAAACGCTATACTCATTCGTATTATGAGACTGAAAGAGTTAAATTCTGGGTTGTACCATGTGTCTTTTGGCTACTGTGTTAAGTGAATGATTCACTGAAGTGTGAAACTTGCCTATTTAAAAGCAGATAGCATCCATAGCTTTTTAATGTTGACAAGATTTGCCTGTTTCAGCCCAAACTGGTGCCTAATTTTCCTAGTTGTTTCTTTATCCCATCAAGAAAATCCTCTTGTTAGTTATTGTAATAAATGATTGAGGCACCTATGGCAGCATCCTATTGTCAAAAGTCAGATTTCCTCTATCAGATTTTCTGTTTATGTGTTCACTTGACAGCAATCCAAGGAAAAGCTTGGAGATGCCTTTTCCTTAGCCAGCTTTTTTTCCCTTCAGTAATTACTGAGCAGCAGCTTAACATAAATTTAGCTGCTCTATTACAGCAAATGCTGGTCTAAGTGTAGCCCACAATAGGGCACAGGCTTATAATGATACATGAAGGAATGAAGAACAGAGTTTTGTGCTTATTTTCAGATGCTGACAAACTTATTATCCATTTAGTATCCCACCAGGAAACGTGACCAGAGAAATAAATGAGGCTAAAGTATTTCATACTAAACTGATTTAGCTGTACTGAGAAGAATGAGAGAAATTGGAGCTGGAAACAACAATTTTTGCTGTGCCTGCTTCCTTCTTTTTCTAAATACAAGAGCACAAAGGGTCTGATTCATTCATATGGCTGAACAAATATTCCCAAAGATTTCCTTAGGAGCAAAACTGAACCCTAAATCTTAAACCTTTACAAGTATCTAACACTTCAGAGGCATGACCTCCAAACAGAAGTGCATGGGCACATTTGAGAAGCAGGTTTCATTTCCATTACATTAAAAAACTCAAGACATCTACGTGAAGCAACAGTGCTGACAAGCATGAATGCAGAAATGCAAAGAAAAAAAAAAAAAAAAAAAAAGAATTTATTAATGCTTTTATCCAGGGAATCTGAAGCTCTGCATTGTGTTGCTCCACATAGAAAGCTTGAGAAGAAGGAAATGCTGTCAGACAAAAAAAAAAGGTAAATTCATGATCCATCTTTACCAGCACCTCGCCCATCCCTCCTTCTTCCCCCTCCAGAATTCTGTAGCTACAGAAAAGTAAAATTAGTTGCAAAGCTAGTTCTTTACGTTGCCTGAAAGAAACATCCATGTAACTTTGATGGCTCATTTAACCATGTGCTTTTCTGTCTCCTTCTATACCAATTTTGGCCTAACATTTTCATTTCAAGGCTCTGCTTATGAAGGAGGATGGTGGAGGTAAGGAAGAAAAGAAGGGTATAAAGGAGAAAAACTTCCTATCTACAAGGTATACAGTCATGCCAGAAGAGTGGACCAAAGTAGCATGATCCTCCACAGGAAAACAGGACCTTCATTTCAAATTACAAGTTATCCTGACTTCATTCCACACTCCCACATCAGATTTCTAAAGAAAGGGAGAGACATTTACTGGAATGTTACACATCACTGCTAATCTGTTAACACCACCATCTACAAGCCACTTTCTATTATTTTCATTACCAACATAAGGATAAAAATCTCCTAACTGTATCCTCTCACTGCATGTCAATCAAAGTAAATCTTTTTCAACTGTCAGAAAAGTCCTAGGGGAGACTGGAGGATTCACCACAAAATTGCAAAGAATTTCCTAGGAGATCTGGAGGGCACGAGTGGCTAGTACAGCCATTCTCTAAACTCCCTTTCAAGAGAAGAATGCCCTCTCTCTGCCTGTTACTATTTGTTCTCAGCAATGGAGTGTAAAATATTCCATTTCTCTCAGAGCTGCCTCCTCAAAAACCATTACCACTCCCTATACCACCCCTTGCCCTACACGCCCCCGCTCCTGCCAAAAGCCATACTTTACTTCCTTGCTTGATTATAAAATTTTCCTGTTAATACACCATATTGATCTGCAATGTCAGACTGGATGCCAGCACTGAAATCAGCGTTTATTTTAAACATTTACTAAACAAACAAATAAATAAATAAACAAACCTCCTCTGTGCATACAATTATATGCAACTTGCATCCTTTTTTTTTTAGAGATTGGGCAAACAGGCAGCACCCATCACTCACTGCAGGGGCTTTCTCAAAAGATTCCTTTGCTAGTGAAACATTTACAAATGCCATAAAGCCACGCCAGCAGGTATCTGCAACACACTACCAAGGCTGGAGTTTTACGAACTGGAATATTTGAGATTTCAGTTCTGCTCTCATTCCTCCTTTTCTTCCTTCCTTATGCCAGTTCCCCCCCATCCCTCTCCTCTGCCATTACCAAAATTCAACTGGATTCTTTACTCAGGCTGGGGAAGAGAGCAAAGAAAGAGGTAGAAGAAAAAGATGCAATGGGGCATTTCTTATTATTATTATTACTTTTTCCCCTGTAAGAAATAATAAAATAATAATAAAATGGAAAGTGTACTTACTATATTCTCAAAGACTATCCAGCTGGAAATCCGAGTGGTTATGAAAAAACAGGGTGGGGGAGGGGTTATGAAAACTATTTCATTTCAGCAACCAAACCAAAATTAAAAACAAGACAGGAAACAAAAATAAAATATATCCAACTGCAATTTCCAAGCAATTTCAGTCCATGCAGGTACCAATCCAACCCAACACTGCTGAACTCTCTCCCTCCAGCAATTTTGCTTTTTTCTTCTCTGTCCTTTATTTTCTCTGTTGTGTTCAACTTTTCTGTTTAAAATTGCTGTAGTGGTAACAATGATGTTTGCTCCACAGGAGAAGAAGGGTTTAAAACAACAAGACAAGAAAAGAAAAATTATTGCAGAGGATGAATGGTCTTTCTCCTTTCTGAAACTTTTCATTCCACAGTGGATCCTTTGCCTACTACCCTTTTTCTGAGGTTTTCTGCCACTCTAGCTTCTCTGCTCTCCATTGCTTGCTATTTGTTTTTTCTCTGGAGAGCAGAAAGAGCTGTATTTCTGTTTAAGCAGCCCTCCATCTGTATTATTTTAATGCAATTTTGTTGTGACTGTTAAGATCCAGGTCTTGCCAGGCAATTTTCTTCTTCCCCCTTCTTTGCTGCACTATCAATTATCCAATCTGTGTGTCTCCACATTAGAATGGGGATTCCCATTCTTCTTTTTCCCTATCCCCCACACTCCTTTAGGATAGAATCTCCGTTTGCAATTAAATTTTTATTTGTATATGTCAATACAATAACTTTTAGTTTCTCTCCCTTCTCTCCAAAGATCTGATTAGATTTCCAATCACAACCCAGTGCGCAATTGGATTTTTGATTTCAGCAAGAAGTCAGCAATCCACAGCATCAGCACTCTCTTCCTCGCTTCAAACTCCACATTATATCCTTTGCTTTCCCTCCAACTCCTCTGCATTTTCATAATCTCACATTAAATGGAATGAAGGAGGGAGGGAATAGAGAAAAATTCAAGGTTCCCACCAGCTGTCAAGAATAAATCCATCCCCTTGTTATTTTTTAAACACTCAGGATGGGTGTTTTTAACGCCCACTCTCCCCTTTGCTCCCCACACTTCTCAAAATCTTTCTGATGTTAAAACTCCCCCGACGGGGCACAAAAGAACCCTGGGGAGGCGTGATTTGTCTTCTTAGCCCTGTTTCGAAAGCACTGGTTTCCCTCTGCTTTTCATTTTAGCTTCTTCTCCATCTTTTGTCCAGCAGCTATAAAGATCCAGCAGCACCAAGACAGATAAACTTCTATTTCTTCTTTGAGCAGAGAGGGAAAGAGAGAGGGAGAAGGATAAAAGCTCTCCAGCCTCTGCCTCCCTTTTCTTCTCTTTCTCTGTTTCAATGCAGCTCCGATCACATTTGCAATCTCTGCCCGGTGTATTTCAGATCTACAAGTTGGATTTCCCTTCTGCACAGCAGTGAGTTAGAATCCCATCGTCTTCCACATGCCAGTTATCTTCCCCCTTTTCTTCCTTCCTTCCTGCCTCTCTCCCTTCCAAGATGACACATCCCCGGGAGCACAGCCTCTTCTTTCAGTTTTTAGTTGCACGCCTGAAATGCATAGCGTTTTGCACAGCCAAAATCCTTTCTCCCTCCCATTAGCTTCAGCTTGAATTCTTCTTGTGTATGCACGTACATACACATCTATGTATATATCCAGTTCCAGGCAGCTCCTGTTGTTGCTGCTGGGAGTAGATCCGCTTTTCTGTCGCTCTGGCTTTGTCTGACTCCCCACCTTTCAGAGGCACACTAGGATTTGCAAATGTCCCGGGGCCAGTCCTCCTCTCTATACTCCTCCTTCACCCCTTCCGTTCTCTTTCTCTCTCTCTCTCTCTCTCCTTTTTTTTTTTTTTTTTCCTCCCCCCTTCCCCTTCTTTTCTCTGCTTGTGATCAGTAAAATACAATTACCCAATTACCTCCCATCATCTTAGCACTGATTGGTCAATTGCATTAACGCTTGATGTCAGGGAAAGGGTGTTGGAACCGTTCTGACGTGGCACTGCTGCCACCTGGTTGACAGTGTGGGAACAAGCTCCGAGTTACCTTAAGAAACCTCCAAGTCAGAAAGCAGTAATTGAAAAGCAAGGGATCATCTTAAGGAACGGAATGTCAAAGCTCATTTTCTTAAAAGCCTGTCTGATTCTGACAGATCAACCACTATTCACAGGTACCAGCATAGCCACAGAGATAGAGGAATGACTGTGAAATGAAATGAAATAGTTTTGCAAAAACAGTGGAAACCGCTTGTATATAGAGACAATCAGCTTTCTAATTACAGAAATAAATATTTGTTTAAAACTTGTACACAAAACCTTGTACAAAAAAGTTACTTAAAACTCTATTTTGGCAGGTGCTCCTTGCCAAAAGCCCTATGAAGTGCCTTAAGGTTTTAGTGGGTCCAACTGCTCCAGCTAGTTGATAAGTCACCAGCACACAGCAGCACAATGCTTAGGCTCACCTAGCAAATCTGCTGCAGGTTGATTACCATGACTTCTAATCAAGGTTTCTGAGTTTTCTAAACTAAGTCATTAATCTGGGCTCCTAAGGTGCTGAGATATTTGCTGTCATTTAACCAAGATATGCTTGAAGTACTTAAGTATGTTTACATGAAGTGCTTGGAATTGGGCTTATGTCTTATATTTACAGGGATCTATATTCAAAATAATTTTTACAGAAAACTTTGCATGCATAAAGTTGGACGTGCTACCCTCTGCAGGATCAAAGGAAACAGAATATGGATGATGTATGTGCCAGCATTTCTCTCAAAATTAGAAAGAAATTATTTATAGATCAAACTCCTCCACACAACCCCCAAAAAAGAATTAGTCAGGCGCTTTCATGGTAATTATAGCAAACTTCATATATTAAGCAGTAACTCAGAGTTATTCCATGCCCATAATGATATAGCTAACTTTCTGAATCCTCTCTCAAGAAGTCAAATTATGTTTGATATCCTTACTCATTCTGCAATCTATGGTGTGAAACTGGCATACTTGAAAATAAAACAAAATTTTAGCTTATATGTCATATCATAAAGTTTCTGTAGAATTAAAAAATCCATAAACTAGCTGAATTCAGTAAATAACACTTACTGAATCATTAACATTGACTTTCAGATTTATTCTACTGACTCCATGGGCTTTCTGGTGAGAAAGTGCTATGATACGATGAAATGAAACCAAGTCTTTAACCACTGTAATATCATTTAGCATCTGATCTTACTATCACCGACATTAATACAAACAACAAATTCCCTACCATGGGTGAAAGGCTGTGTAGCTATAATAAATATTCCAAATAAAATCACCTTTCAAGTACATTCGGGAGCGTGATATGAGATAAAGTTGCTGACTAACAATCTTTTTTTCTCAGATGTTGAGCTTATTTTGTTCCTGTCTGATTCATTAATGCTGCTGATTTATTTGGGGTCTACACAGGTTGGTTTTTTTTTGTTTTTTTTTTTTTTTTTTTTTTTTTTTTGAGTGTTGTAAAGAGGGGAGGGTGGGAGGAGGGAGTGAGTAAAAAAGAAAAAAAAAAAAAAAAAAAAGAATATTCCCAGAATGATAAAATCATCACAGCCTAACATAAGTTTGCTCCACTTTTTCTTTAAAAAGTGCCTTAACAACTTCCTGGTAATATTAAAGAACTTGTGAGTAATTATGAAGGTTGTTATACCTGAATTTAAATATATATAGAAGTGAAACCAGAAGACACACAGCTTTTAAGGATCTAATTAGAATTTAAGATACAAGCACCTCCAAATCTACAGCATCTCTGTGGATATAAACTACTGCATTCACAAAAAGCTATATTTCATTTCTGTCAGAAATATGTATATTCTGCATTTTGATATAATTCAAATTGCCAGTAGTTAAGCAATATATATGAAGATATTCTTGCACTGACAGGAATAAATACAAAATTAATATCAACTACAACATGCTGTAGGCAATAATACAATCTTCTATCCTAAAGTTTGCTTTTTAATATCCCAGCTATACTTTCATCACCCAGTAAGCATAGAAAACAGAGTGATCACATTCTCAGAACATACCTTTAACATACCTTTAAAGCAATCTTATTTGGGATATCATAAGATGACACTATATATTATATGAAAAGGTGCATGATATTTACTAAACAAAATCCAATATATGATATCTGTTTCTCAAGCTCAAAAGCCACCTATGCATCAAATCTATTCAAAACAAATATGCGTTATCACAATACATCATTCACTAATGAGATATTAAAAAGGTATCATTGAGTCTGGACTAAATTGTTTGACTTTATGTAGTACATTGCATGTTGATGCCTTCAAATGATATTATTTTACATTGCTTTCAATCTTCTATTTTGAAGGCTTTCTGAGTATACACATACATATCTGTTCACAAACTTCATTTAGCAATGTATTGATATTCAACAAGAACGAACCCTGGAAATCTTTGGACAGCATATGTGACACAATATTTCTAAGCAGTGCCAAGGTGAGAAAAAGGAAATATACCGAGGGCTTCTGTTCTGTTCCTAAATTGAGCAGTTGCTATTTTTCATGCTCTTTCCCCACTACTGGCCACATTCAAGTGAAGGTGAGTGTTAAGAAAAGCAGCTGTTATCTGGTCTTCCCCAGCCTGGGAAGTGCCCTGGACACTATAGTACAAAATTCCATTCACACAGTGGAGGTCACTAGGTTATGGCTCTTCCTCTGGATCAACATCATCATGAGTCAAAAACGTAAACAGTGAAAGAGTAAAAAAAGATAAGCATAGATTAGCAAGGAAACTTTGGTTGTTTTTCAGCTAATGGAGTAAGTTTCTCTGATCCTTAGTATGGTGTGAAATCTCAAATGTATGTTCTGGCAAATGTTGATACAATGAACACGGACAGTGACCAACTGTCATAACAATTCCTTATTGATAAGTAATAAGAGTTGAAGAACAAAACTTCTGACTGTGATTAGCACTGAAAGTAACTAATGGAAAAGACTGGACACAGAATTGCCAGTCATTTGGTGAATGAGAAACATCACTAAAGTCTAAGAAAAGTGACATCTAGTTTTCAGATAAAGGAGAATAAAAATCTTAAAACTGAATAAGAATAAACAAAGTTCAAAGAAAAATATGAAATCAGACCACTACGCTTATATGAAGAGAAAAGCAGTTCCCAAGTTCTTCCAAGCCAATAATGTCCTGCCTTCATTGAAATAAATAAAATCATAAACGAGGCTGTAGAACATACTATTCTTTCTATTTTATTAAACATTGCTGACAAAAATCTACTGCATGTGGAGACAGAGCTTCAATCATCTTTTAGCCTACTGCTTTCAAAAGGAGAACAAAAAAATGCTGACAAACATACTTTCATCTGTGGAGATCTATAGTATAGCTCACAATTAACAGATTCAATAGATGCTAAACACCTCATAAATAATATCACAGGGAGAATGTGATTTTTGTAATGTAATTTAAGCTCATGGTACATATTTACATGTGTATGATTTTATTGATAATTGTTCAATTGTTTTGGTATAGAAAAAAATGAAAAAATCATGAAAATTAGCAGCTGAATATAGTGCTGTCTCATGTATTAATCTTCACTTATATTTGATCTGATGTTTGCAGTTCTAATTTTAAGTTTTAGTTGATAGGTAATTTCTACTTGGTCATAGAGTCTTAGAAAAAATAAGTTTATCCTCCATTCAGGAAGATCTAGGTGGAACCACAACATGTGCTTTTAGAAAGCACAGAAAGTTCAATTGATTGTTCAATAAGCCCAACTCCTCATAATATCATAGTATAAATTATTTCTGGTAAACATAGAACTGAATGTTGTTTTCTGTTGTGTAAATTTGAAAGATAATTGTCCAGTTGGCTTAACAGAACAAGCTTCTATAATTACTTCTACTGAACAAACTCAGTTAGGAGCATCTTTGATGTTAACAACTCATCACTAGGAGGCAACATGCCATATAGAAAGACTTTTTAGATTTTCTGCTTTATTGTCAGTGTTTCCATTACGGCAGAGTCAACCAATTCACCAAGCTAAGCATGAGCGAGCAGCATGTCATTGCTGCAAAGAAGGCTAATGGTATCCTGAGCTGTATTAGACAAAGTGCTGCCAGCAGGTTTCCCTCTATTCTGCTGTGCCATCTCTGTGATGAGTCCACATCTGGAGTACTGTGTCCAGTTTTGGGCTGCCCAGTGCAAGAGAGAGTAGCAAAGGGCCACAAAGATGGAGAGAATAGAGAATGTCTTCTTTGAGGAAAGGCTGCGAGATCTGGTGAAGAGAAAGCTCAGAGGAAATCTCATCAAAGTATACCTACAGGGAGAGTGCAAAGAGGACTGGCTGTAGGGCCCAAAGATAGGACAAGAAGCAATAGGTACAAACTGAAACACAGAGGTTTTGTCTGACCATTAGGAAACACGCTTCCCTCTAACACAACCCTGAAGATCCTAACATTTTCCTAAAGCTTTAATTCCAGGCATAGAATTCAATTATAGACAAACTATTTCCTCACCAGGACAAAGTGTCACTGACATTAAACTGTAAATTCACAGGGAAGGATAACCTTTTTGATTTTAATTATAAATGCAACTGTAAATGACAATAGAGCACAGTCTTTCATTTTATTGTCATGCCCCATCTAATACCTCAATTTTGTCAATAAAATGAAACACAAATACAACTTACCGTTACTTTTCTAAGACTTTAAAATTTAAGAATATAGACAACTAGACATGGACACAAATGATAAATCACTCAGGAATTGGTATCTATACATCATAAGAGCATTTTTTCTTCAGTGAATTTTAAATACCAAGATTATGATG